CAAGATGGCATCAATCACTTTTAAGCTACTCTTTACCCTCACTCTATTTTCTTCTCTTTTCTCAATATCATCATCATCCTCTTCTTCTTCATTACCTTCCGCCGTAGATTTTTGGTGCAACCAAACTCCTCACCCCGAGTCATGCAAATCCCACATGAACTGGTTTAGACCGAACCATCCGTCAGAGTTCAGGAAAATGCTGGTTCACTTGGCACTGGTCCAAGCACAAGACATGCATAAGGAAGCTCAAGAGTATGGCCCAAAATGTGCAACCAAGATGCAGAAATGTGTCTTCCATGACTGTTTGAAGCTCTATGACAATACCATCTTCCATCTAAACCGAACCCTTCATGCCCTACACACAGCTTCTTGCTCCCTATCAGACGCACAAACATGGCTCAGCACTGCCGTCACAAACATCGAAACTTGCCGGAGCGGCGCGTTGCAGCTCAGAGTCGGAGAGTTTACGGCTGAAAATAATGTGAGCGAGAGTGTTAGGAAGATGATAAGCAATGCGTTAGCCGTTAATGGGAAATTTCTGCAGCAAGAGAATAACACAGAAGAAGAAGCATATGGATTTCCCCGTTGGTTTTCTGGTCACGAAAGGAGGCTATTGAGCTCAAAGCGATCGTCGGTGAAGGCACATCTTGTGGTGGCTCAAGATGGTACGGGCCATTTTAAGACAGTGCAAGCCGCCATTGATGCATCATCAAGGAGAAGAGTGAAGACAAGGTTTGTGATCCGTGTGAAGAAAGGGATTTATGAAGAGAATATTGAAGTTGATAAGGATAATGAAAATCTAATGATTATTGGCGATGGATCGAGAGTCACCATTATAACTGGTAGTAGAAGTGTCAAAGATGGGATCACCCCCTCCATGTCCGCAACAGCAGGTGAGCTATTTATTTAACTTATTTCAGATTTTTCTCTGAAATTTCAATTAAGCTCTTTAATTTATTTATTTAACATGTCTTACTAAGATCATTAAATACGACTTTTCTAAAATACAATTTTAATGAATGAGTGTGAGGAACGAGTCATGCTATTTATGATGTGTGAATGGGGCCACTTGGAGATTTATCATGTATAATACAATGATAAAAAAAAAAGTATTTTAAAGAGTACTTTACGGAGTTTGAAATAAACATGTAAGAGAAGTTCAACTTGTATGAAAACACTTTATTTTAAGTGATTCTGAGGATTCCTAAACACCACCTAAGGTAGTTTTTATCAAATCACATGTTTCAAATCAATTACCAAACAAGCACTTAATTCATTTTCAAATTATAAAATTTCAGGCATAGATGGCGCTTTCTTCATTGCACGAGACATCACTTTTAGAAACACGGCCGGTCCTGAAAAAGGTCAAGCGGTGGCACTCCGATCAGCCTCCGACCTCTGTCTTCTACCGGTGCTCCATCGAAGGCTACCAAGACACTCTAATGGCTCATGCACAACGTCAATTCTATAGAGACTGAAGAATTTTTGGTACAATGGATTTCATCTGGGGCAATGCAGCAATTGTTCTACAAAACTGCAGGATTCTTGTGAGAAGGCCACTTGAAGGGCAAGCAAACATGATCACAGCTCAAGGACAAGGAGACCCATTTCAAAACACCGGAATATCAATAATGAATTCTCAAATTTGAGCCGCACCGGATTTCAGGCCGGTTTTACACTCATTTGAAACCTATTTGGGTCGGCCATGGCAGCAATATTCTCGAGTAGTTGTCATGAATACGTACATTGAAAGCTTGGTGAATCCAAAGGGCTGGTCTCCGTGGGGTGATGGTAAGCTTGCTCAAGATACGTGTTATTTTGGGGAATTTAAGAACTTTGGGGCCGGTTCATCGACCAAGAATAGGGTGCAATGGCCCGGGTTTCATGTCATAACTGGTTCAAATGAGGCAACCCGGTTCACTGTTGCTGGACTCCTTCATGGTTACAAATGGTTGCCTCGCACTGGGGTACCTTATAGTATGGGTGTTTGATAATTATATTTAACCTTTGGGCTTCCTACAGGGAAATTATACGTATTTGTCATTATATATCCTTTCATCAGTTTGTTTTGGGAATTCATTTAATCTATTAGATTGTAATGTACGTGAAGATGTATGTATACAATGTTCTATGATGGAATATTGGTGCTTAATAAATATAATACTAGATTAATTTTTCATGTTGTCGTCTTGTATATTTGTTCTTTTATTTGAGATCATATGTATGGGAGATTCTTTGTAAAATTAAACTAGTGAGTCAGATATCAGTTTCAGATTATTTCAGAAACCAATCTCAAAAACTTAGTTTATTTTGATCATTACATTTATTTCTTTGTCAATCTTTCGTCGTTGGCTAACTTCGTTTTACAAAATAATATGATGTGATTTTGATTCAAATAATAGACAGACGTGCCAGGAATATTTTATACACATAATATAAATTTTATCGACATATGTTTGCTTTTATAATAAGTCATCTTGGAAATTTTTAAATTTAAATGACTTGGTTGTACGTGAGCTGATTCCAGTTATATATCTCTGTCGTCATTAATGAGCAATTTATTTTATTTAGGTGACAGATATCCTTCTTCACACTACTCCTCCATATTCAATAAAACAAAGGGTGTGAACAAGAACAATAGCAAAACAAAATATATTTTTTGTTAGGTACAATTATCCTTTTATTATAAACAATATGTTTGAAACACTATTGGGTACTAAAATAAATTGCTATTGTTCACATTGAGAGGGTTGACATCATAGAGAGAGCTATAACTATAAAAAGTTTTGGCTAGCAGGAGGTTAAGTGAAGTGTCATAAAATGGAGCCACTACATCACTAGTGTCGCAGGAGAAGTGGAGTTTATGAGTTTAAAAACCTCAACTTTTATGTCATTTTAAAACTATAAAATTTACTACCAAAGATCATAAAAATAAGTTACTATATATTTACTTTGTCTAAACTTAGTATTCATGCCCTTAAAAGTTACATCCTGATTTGTCTCATTATTATAGAGATTTATAGCATTTGCTATGTTATCCGTAGATGAATAATCCATTATTATAAGAATATTGAAATCAAGTCATGTAAATTTGGGTTGCAAGACAGAGTTGTAGCCCAAGAAAACATTTAAAAAAATTCTCTATTCATTGTTTCAATAGATTTTTTGAAAAAAAAATTACAAAGTGGCAAATTTAACAGCTAGCAGAAACCAAGTGTGATTGAACATTCCATAGTCTGTCATTAGCGGTGGCAACTTTGTACCGCTAAACTAAAATGCTAATAGCTTCAAGAGGATATTTTGATCATTAATTTGCTTCAATCTTACAAATTATAACTCTTTGATGTTACTCTTCACTTTTCAATTGTCCATTTTTTACCCATTGACACATAACTTGCAAACTTTACTGTTGGTCAAAATTATTGATTAATTAATCCACCAATACTACAGAGTTGGATTCATAAGTTAAAATTTTATGAACGAAAATATCCATAGTGAGATAGTTACCAGATTAGGATACAAAGTGAGTTTGAAGTAGTTGAAAAAATACGCAACATTTTTGACGCATAATTGGATTGTTACGTTTGATCTCATGTCAATAGAGGCCATCAAATAGATGCTGAAACTATCATTATGCAATACTGAGTCACTCTCTTCAAAAATTTCAATCTTAGGCTTTTAATAGACAACTAGATAGTTCATACGCGTTTTACATGGACTTATATTAAAAAAAAAAGAAAGAAATTGATAGTACCACATAATTTACCCAAAAAAATATTGATTATACAAAATCTTCTATTAATTATTAATTCTATTTCCGTTCCTTACTCTATAAACTACATGCACATGGGGATGGCCTTGATTTTCCAGTGTACGTGTGCTTCAAGAAAACGCATCCAATGTATGAGCCAAGTGCGATTCAATTACTCGTCACCTAACTAGAAATTGCTTCTTCATTATAAATAAGTAATGTATTGAACAAGTATACAACTATTATTTCTCAGAAACTAGTAAGGTTTCTTAATCATTGTGAAATAGTTGTAGACTCAGCCAAATATTCGTACTCTTCTAACGTTAAAGAAACACTTTAGATAAACTAATTCTTCACCTTTAGTCGAGCCGCCAAGTGTAGATTCAATTTATATATACCGATTTATTGGTTTAATTAATTTCTTAATGACTCCCTTAATTCCTAACTCAATCTTGAGACCACTAGTTGTGTGCTTCCTTAATTAGCCTTTATCCAAGAAGTTGGGAATTTTTTGGGTCTGAAGAATTCCTTAATATTCGCTCTGTTTTTGTCATAAATTGATATTTGCTCTAAATATTAACTCGAAGCACATGCCAATAGAAAGAAATTTTTTGATAATTTATAAATTATGGTGAGTTTGGTTGGCTTTTACAACAAATATCAACTTAATATTACCTTAAAAGAAATTAGTTTTAAGTTCAGAGTGACTTGAGGATACTCTAAGTTATACCAAAACATAACAAAGTTATAACCAATAAGCATATATACATATTAGAAGAGAATTAGTTAAAAATTTATATTCATAAATAATATTGGACTTAATAGTGATTAATTCATATGACATGTAAAATTAAATGTCTACATCTTGACACCAATAGTTGAAGATTGTTTCTCATTAAATACAAATATATTTCAGAATATATCTAAATTTGGCACAAGCATATAAAAACATTTATTTAATTTTAATTGCAAAACATTTTCAGCTAATTTTATTTTCAAAATCTCCATTGGGAACTAGCATTCCTATTATATGTATCTCTGTCGTCATTGTTGACTTGATTAATTAATTAATTCAGCTGGCACATATCCTTCATCACACTCTTCAACCAAACTCCCTCCATATCAAGCCTTTGAATCTAATGTAAAACACTATATGTATGTATGTATGTATGTATGTATGTATGGATGGATGGATGGATGGATGTATGTATGTATGTATGTATGTATGTATGTATGTATGTATGTATTTATGTATATTCCTAATTTAAAACACAAAGTCTCATACAAAAGAACCACATCGATCAAAACACATATAGCATCGAACATTATTGTTAAGCTGTTCTTCTCCCTTGCCTTATTTTCTTCACTTTTCTCAATATCTTCTTCATCAACAACATCATCTTCCTCCATAGATTGGTGGTGCAACCAAACTCCTTACCCTGAGCCATGCAAATACCACATGAACCACCGTCACAACCGATTCAAACCGAACCACCGGTCCGAGTTCAGGAAAATTCTGGTTCAGTTAGCCGTGGAACAAGCTCAAGCTATGCATAAGGAAGCACAAGAGTATGGCCCAAAAATTGTGAGCCAAACGCAGACATACGTGTTCAGTGATTGTTTAAAGCTCTATGATAACACCGTCTTTCATCTAAACCAAACTCTTCAAGCCTTACATTCTTATGCTTGTTCGTTATTAGATGCACAAACATGGCTTAGTACTGCCCTCTCAAACATCGAAACCTGCTGTAGCAGCGCGGTGCAGCTCGGAGTCAGAGTGTTCTCGCTTCAAAATAATGTGAGCAGCCACAATGTTAGGAAGATGATAAGCAATGTGTTGGCTGTAAATGGTGAGATTCTGAAGCAAGAGAATAACAACACAAAGAGAAAAGCTCTTGGGTTTATTCCAAGCTGGTTTTCTTGGCACGAAAGGAGGCTTTTGAGCTTGAGTTCATCTTCTTTGAAGGCTAATCTTGTGGTGGCTCAAGATGGTACTGGACATTTTAAGACGGTGCGAGCCGCCATTGATGCAACATCAAAGAGAACAGTGAAGGCGAGGTTTGTGATACGTGTGAAGAAAGGGGTTTATGAAGAGAATATTCAAGTTGATAAGAATAATGAAAATCTCATGATTGTTGGAGATGGAATGAAACTCACCATTATAATTGGTAGTAAAAGTGTCCAAGATGGAATTACCCCCTCTATGTCTGCAACAGTAGGTTAGTTATTTAACTGATTTTAGATTTTTCCCTGAAATTGAAATTCAACTCTTTTGTTGAGTATTTATTTGACATGGGTCTTAACTAAGATGATTAAATATGACTTTTTAAAGCGTCACCTTAAGGAATAAGTCACACTATTTATTATGTGTTAAGGGTAACTAATGCCACATGTTGTAGATTTTCAGAAAAATTAATATGCTAACCTCGGATGCTATCACCTTATTTTTAACTAAATTCTTGTTGGCTTTTTATTGGGTCCTTATAGTTTTCTCAATTATAAGTATCCTAGACTCATAATTTGTTAATTTATAAGAGAAATGATATTAATAATTGATTATGTGACTCTCAGCACTCAAGATACATATGGATTAATTTTGGCATGTGCATGAAATAAAAATCAACAAGATTATAGATTATATAGATGCAAGGAAAAGATTATAAGTATAATACATTTTTTTCATTTTTTAGGTTGATAATAAATAGATTTTATTCCATCATTTTGTTTTATATTTTGTGACAACTTACACGTCGCTTAGTTAGCATCGATATTATTCTTAATTAATATATTACAAGCACATGGGCTAATGCCCATAATTAAGAAAACTGTAGGGACCCAACAAAAGGAAACAAAATGTAGAGACTAGACCAAAAATTAGGTGAAATGACTTTAAGTGCTAACAAATCAATTTCTTGTTGATTTCATATTATGCACTGATTCATTGACTTCTTGGTAATGTATATAATGACTAACTAGATTTTAAATTACAAAATTTTTAGGTATAGATGGTGCCCACTTCATTGCACGAGACATCACTTTTAGAAACACAGCCGGTCCTGAGAAAGGTCAAGTGCTGGCACTCCAATCAGCCTCCGACCTCTCCGTCTTCTACCAGTGCTCTATCGAAGGCTATCAAGATACTCTAATGGCTCATGCACAACGTCAATTCTATAGAGATTGCAGCATTTTTGGCACAGTTGATTTCATTTGGGGCGATGCTGCAATTGTTCTGCAAAATTGCACCATTCTTGTGAGAAAGCCCTTACAGGGACAAGGAAACATGATCACGGCTCAAGGGCGAGGTGACCCGTTTCAGAACACCGGAATATCAATAATCAATTCTCGCATTCGAGCCGCGCCGGATCTCAGACCGGTCGTAAAATCATATGAAACCTATTTGGGTGGGCCATGGCAGCAATATGCACGAGTTGTTGCAATGAAAACCTACATTGAAGGATTGGTGAATCCATTGGGTTGGTCTCAATGGGGTGATAGTGATTTTGCTCAGGATACGTGTTATTTTGGGGAATATATGAACTCTGGGACTGGTTCATCAACAAAAGATAGGGTTCAATGGCCTGGGTTTCATGTCTTGACGAGCGAGAATGATACACAACAGTTTTCTGTTGCTGGACTTCTTGCTGGTAACACTTGGTTGCCTCCAACCGGTGTGCCTTTTGATATTGACATTTAAACTTTGTTTTTATAATTATTATTTATAGAATAATAATGTTATGTCCATTGTATGTTTTTTATTGATTTATTGGGAATTGATTTGTATCATCATTGGCCTGTGGATGTAAATGATTAATTCTTTGGTTCTTTGCTAGATAATAAACTTATGTCGGATTAATTCCATGTTCCTGTCTTGTCTGCTTGTCGATCTTTTCTTTGAGAAACGAGAAGAAATTTAAGAGTTCATTAGCCTGATGAATAGGGAATCTTCTTTATTAATAAAGGGGATAGAAGGAGAATTTTAATAGTTTAATATTATATAAGATTTCAATTTAATTCTTAATTTTATAAAGTATTTCGTGTTCTCAAATGATATTTGTTGTACCAATTATTATTATGGGAAAATATGTAAAAAGTAGTTTGAAAATAGTATTTAGCAGAATGACCTAAATTTGATTATTATTATTATTGGTGCTTCCTGCACATGAAATTCTGTATAATATTAGTATCTTTCGTGTATAAAAACATATCAAATCATTATTGCCAATAAAATTTTCAGACAGATTTTTCACATTATTACTTTAAGAGATTAGACTTAATATGGAGACAATTGATAATATTTTATCAACATTTGCAATTTTAACATTAGTATTTTTTTTGTTTGAATATAACTAATAGTAATAGGATTAGAGAACTTAAAATACTCTTTATTAAATTTAGGTACCCAAATGAAACCTTATTTAAAATTAAGGAATCAACAAATATCCACTTTAGAGGGGAAAAAGAGGAAGAAAGAACCTTCATATGAAATGTTAAGAGCAATATCATGCCAAATAACATAATCAATGTGATATAAGATCTCTCTAGTAATGACCACGGTACGCATATTATCTTAAATAATGTGCTTGATAGAAACCGCGTAACTATTGGGGGTTTTGCAGTCTAATTAACACTAAACATTTCTCATCATCAGATATTTTTAAACATGAAGTTGTGATTTCATATCTTTTGTAAAAGATATATATATATATTTTTTGCCGATACTATAAAAGATATAATTAATATGTAGTGAGTTATGACAATAAAAAAAAGAAGACAATATGCCCAAATTATTCAATCCTCTTACGAACTTTTTCCAAAATACATCAATGAATAAAATAGACAATCATACATTTTCGTTATTGATGTCAAATTTGTTTATTAAAAAAATATAAATATTTTTTTGCCGAAAATTTGTGCTCCCTAGTTGAGACATACTAATCTAGTCTTGTTTATAAGTCACAGTGAGTAGATTTTTTTTACATATATTTATAAGTTATATCATTAAAGTTTACATGAATGTGTACATTTACCTTTCATTTATTATTATGCAAGATTGTTATTTTCTTGAAAAATGTATATATTAAATATAGGAGTGAAGTCACGCGTTATTAAATTTCAAGATAAATTAATTAGGTTTAAAATATTTTTTAACTGTGATAAAATATGTTAAAATAACTTATAAATAAAGCTATACATGTCATCTTGCACTTGTGAAATGTCAAGAGGCCCATGTGGTGGTGCTACCGGTTCAACTTCAGATTACTTGGACCATGAATAGAACTTAGTAGTTCTTTTACCATACAAGTCATCACTTGGATTATTTGAAGGTACTTTCATCACTTCACTATTATGAATTACACATTAAGAAGCAAAATGGAAAACATGCATTGAATTTAAATGGGGATAATTTTTTCAAAAAAACATAATTATATCTCACCTTTTGGCTTATAAAAAACAGTTTCATTCAACCTTCCCAAGATATAAAAACTATGAAACCAATAGCATTCGGAGATATCACAAAATACATATTAAAAACAATGCATATAGATGGCACATGGAAGATAAATTTAATTTCTTCATCTCTCTTCAAGAAAACGCGAAATCCCCCGTGGGCTTCTTTCATTATGCTAATGGATTACACGCCCATGTATCTTGTAACATATGCTCACTAATAATTGTATGGTCAGGATATAATGAATTTTATTATTTTATTTGAGACTTTTAATTTTAATATGTGTATGATGTAAAATAGACATATTTTTCTAGGTTCCAGTTTTTAAAAATGATTTTATCTCAAATTTCAAGAATTAAAACTTGGAAGTTATACCATTCAAATGAGATTCGATGCTTTAGATTTCATTCATCATGGATGAGAACGGATCTCAAGTATGGGCACCTGGTTCCCATCCTGGAGATAACCATTTCTAGATCCCCTATTATACAGCAATAGTATCATGAGAATATTTTTTTTTTATCTTTTTCCTCCCGTCTTTGATTGAACATATTATTTTGAGACTTCTTTATCTTTTTTGTGAAAATTTTTGTAGCCATATTTAGCAATTATATTTTTCCATGGGACCTTATCATAATTTCCCCAATGCATGTCAGGACATAAGGTCCAAGCAAGCTCAAAGCAGGTCTTAGCATGATTTGGTCAAGCTTGGGTAAGTCCGAGCAAGGTCTCGCAAGTCCACTCTAATTTTCAGAATA